AAAAAAAGGGGGGGGGGGGGGGATAATTATTTTTCAAGTGATATTATAATGTTAATTGGATAACGCGTTTTTCACGTGTTATGGCATATGCCACATTATAAAACGCACTTCATCAATCCAACAGTAAGCATTCCGCAATTACGAGCTATACCCAGACCAATGGAAAATTCACATCCCTCAATTAACTCTGACTCGTCCAGACCTTCGCATCATCGTCCTAGCAAATGCCGAAGTACAGCGCACACAACGTTTGACACATTACGAATCCAACGACTGGTTCATTGCCCCGTTAGCCTGTGTATTTTGACTGTAAGGGAGCAGAATGTCCCTTAAGCTAGGTTCTACTGCTCAGTCTCGCGGTTAACGCGAATGCTTATTCGGGCAATGGTTATTCGCGCTACATATAGTTTGACTAGCAAACAAACTATAAAACACGCTCGAGCGTAGAAAAGCGGATTTTGTGTAACGAAAACTTTTCTATTAATTAACGTTACAACACGCCAGTATCGTTATAAGAAAACGCAACGGTGCAACGGGGGACTCGCCACTTTTGTGTACCCACTCGTGTACTGGCTCGCTCATTAGCTAATGAGAAAGTTCCATTAATATTCTGGACATTCTTACGCAATACCTCATAGCTGCTTGATTACTCGACCCATAGTAATATACACAATATATAATCTTATACATGATAGATTACTTAAACACTATTCAACCCCTCTTCCCTGTACTTTATATAAACTCATGATTAAGAAAAAACCTTAGATGATTTAGCATTATACAATCCATTATCGTCCCGAGGGACTCGAGTATTTACCGACTCTTCGTGATATCCCGTTACGCGATGAGTGATAAGCGTGTATCTTCACTCTGGCGCTTATCAATACGAAATCTAACGAAATTTTTCGAGCACTCAAATCACTGGAATTGCGACTGCTTAATTACCATATATGTGCGTGGCGATAAAAAAAAAAGTTAACCACAAAGCGTTTTCTGGAACTACTCCGTTCCAAGAAGAGGATCACGAGGAATAAAGAAAGAGAGGCTTTGTCGTTTCTTTTGGTCGATGGTGGCCCTCGGCGCCGTCTTAAGAATAAAATAGTATTTTGGGCAGCCCTAAACCGACAACGGGTCGTGGCTCCTTTCTTGGATCGGATGCGTATTTTCGTCGCGGGGGTGGCTGCGGCTCTAGGTACAGTCCTGGACTATGGTGATGGATAATGGCTTATGGTGGTTTTGCTCGTAGTAGTGGGTAATACCTATTGCCTTGCTATGATGCTGGTAATGGCGGTTCTTGCAGCTGTTATATACCCAAGGGATGCCTTTCCCTTTGGCCCTATATACTAGACTGTAGTTAACTATAGCCAGGCATTTGGTATATATCGTATATCGCGTGTCCCAAGAACGTAAATGCACTCGCATGGCGATATCGTTAGTGCAACGTTGCTTGAATGCACATCGGCCACTCGTAAATGACTAATAGACAGAGAGCGCTGCACATATATATATGTATACACACCTATGTCAATACTTTTTCAGTGTTGGTACTTTCGTTGTACACTATATAGGTATATACTTCGGTGGTCGCGTGGGTGCACCAGTGCGCCCTGTGTTTTCCTTGGAAGGGCCAAAGATCGTTGCTCGAGCACTGGGGGATGAATCATACGTGGAAGAAAAGAAGCAATCGATAGAAGTTAGCTTTGTCGGCACACTGTATAGTTATAAAAGCGCTCGCTGTGCTTACCTATATTGACGTACCTATAGCGTTGGAGGCATCCGAGAGAAATGGCCGATAATGCGTAACATGTGCTCGACACAACATGTGGGCTATGGGTAGAACGGATGGTATCGAGTGACGCTGAGAGTGATCTGACTTTCTGTCCTTTTTTTTTTTTTCTGAGAATATCAAGGAAAGACACTTTTGCTTTTATGTTCTTATAGTGCTTTTTTTATGGTGACCGGTAGTTGAAGTACTAGTTGAAGTCCGGTTTCTTTATTTCTTTGATAAATTCGCCGAGAGCGGAAAGTCTATCTAAATTTATCACAGTTCAAGTCGGAGCTATCGATGAATCCTGAAATACGAATTATTCTATTTCATATATGTATGTTCCGAGACGGTCCCGAGCAGTGGCAGTGTTCCAAGAATATGGATAATACAGACTTTATCGTAATATCCTTTTCGGCTTGGGATCCAGACAATTTCGCAATTGTCCATATCACGTGTGAATTCGAAGTTTGGTTATTTTATTTAGCATTGAGTCAACCGCTCAGACTTTTATGGGGTCGCGCTGTCATTTTCTCTCCCCCAAAAACCAGTATGACGATGAGTGTGAAAATTAGACCCGAATACGTTTTGCGTGTCTTTCGTATCTCGTGATACTCGTCTGACACTTTTTTTTTCTTCATCTCGTGAAGTAAAAGCTTCACGAAAAGATGCAAGCGTAGTTCTCGCATTTATTTTTAGTCCCACCGCGCCGGAAACGAGCGATAGCCGCTGAAGCGCGACATACGGAATACGGATTACGGGAGGGTTGAAAAATCTAATGGACGACTGACTAAGGACGGAAAAGACCCGAGCAACCCAGTCGCGGAGAGAGAGAAAATACGGGGGGGGGGGGA